CGGAAAAAATTTATTGTCTTAATGATAATAAGTCATTAATAACTTTGCATCTAATCGCAGAAATGGCAAAATATAAGAGAAACCATAAAAAGGTAACAAAAGAATGCCTAAGGAAAAAGAAAAAAAAGCTAGAAAAAAAGTGGTTCGACCAGGAATGTGATAAAAGTTTAAAGCTAAAAATCAACAAAGAGGATATTAACAATATTAACGGGACCAACAGATGAGAAAAGAGAAACTTGCCATATAATAAGAACAACAGCACCGGTTAGTCTAGGCAGTTCTATATGGGATTAAAAACACTAAAGGGCAATAAAGTAAATAGTCCAGACAGATGATGAGGACAACTTCTTACGGAGAATATGGGCATGAACCGACAATGGGTAGTATTTCAAACAATTGTTAAATACTGACAAGTCAATAACAACATACAAAAAAAAAACAGTATCACTCAGCAGAACTTGAAATAGCGTTACCAGCGCTTGGGTAAGTAATGGCAACACTATTGGCACTAAGAAATAACAAAGCTCCAGGCCTAGGAGCTTTGCAGGAGCAGGAGCTCTGCATCCATGCGGAACTGATTAAGAAAGGTGGAGAACAACTTCATGTACAAATATCCTCCTCCTCAGTCCTAATCCCTTTTGGGATGTGGTGACACCATCATGCCTTTACAGTTTTTAGTTGTTCGGCTTCATGTAACCTTTGGTTAATCAATATTTTTGTTTGATCTACCCAACGGCTTGGAGATCTTCCCCTAGGTCTCTTTCCTTCAACTCTACCTTAGCTGAATTAAGTGGTGGGGTGTTTCCATTTCCGCTAGTATGAACCATACCTTAATGACAATACGCTAGTATGGTAAAACAACTCAAAGATTAAAAAGATTCGTAACTTCCAGTGAGTCATTGTTCTAATTCAGTTAAGATATTGTCTAAAGGGGGTAGATAAATAGATCTTCAGAAATATTCTTCACAAAAGTTAGTAGGTTGGTTTAAACAAGAAACTATATGAGGTATCTTCAATTCAATGTCTAGTTGTACTTCATATTAACGGCATCTCTATCGTGACATTGAAGACTCTTAAAAAGTCCAAATTATACATTCACTTTATACATTACATACTCACAAAATCCTATGATTTAGTTAATATACATATGAATTATTATTGACTGTTTTTATACATATTCAATTAAATTTTAAAGTGACTATAGTATGTTGAACATAGAAAGGATATACATAATTACCTTAACTGTATCCTCTAGAGCATCTTGTGCAGGTTCATTAATATTTGAAGAAGTACTAGGTCTCATATCATCAATATTAGTATTGTTCATTGTTTTACCTGATCTTGGTGTAGAATAATACTCAATTCTACATCTTTTCATTTTTAAATAATGAATAAGGTAATTTTACAGATTTTTCAATATATATTGTTAAAATGCTATCACTAGATCATTATTTTATTTGCATTTACCAATGTATCAGACAGAGCTAATGCAACAATATTCACTTTGATATTTATTATAGATAAATTATAAAATGTACCACACAGTCCCAACAATTATAATACATACCCAAATTACAAACAACCAATTCCTAGACAAAACTGAAGAGATATCTAATACAAAAAAAATGTGCTGATTTTCTTGCGAAAAGTCATGTCATGTATATTGAATGAGCAATAATGTGTAGGCAATAATTCTATCTAATCAATAATCAAACTATTCTCTGGCACTCAAATGAAGAATTTTTAAGTTATTACTGTATTCAAAATTGCTGATTTTTTTAAGAGCAATGTAAAAAGGCTTCCACATAATTCTACACTCACCCCTAGAATAAATGAGTTTGAATCATTTCAACTCTTGACTTCCTGCTTATAGGGTTGATGGGTTTTAAATTATTTTTGTTATGATTATTTGATTGATATTTATTTTTGTTTGGGAGGGGTAATGACCCCCCTTGGATCCGTCAATGGTGTTGTTAGCTTATTTATTTATATTTTCATAAAATGTTTAGACATTATTATCAAAATCTAAAATATATGATTTACTATCCTCAAACAATTCTCATAGTTAACTTTGACTGATCCTATATATACAGACAATTATATATATATATATATATATATATATATATATATATATATATATATATATATATATATATATATATATATATATATTCATATTAACATCTGTTTTGGTAACTCCACTTCCATAGCTCCAAGGTATTCTTTAGAATGTATAATTTATCTATTGATTTTTTTTCTAAAATGTACTCTGAAATATCTATATAAATATTTTTCGAGACACAAGTTTATAACTGATATAAACTAAGAATGTAAGTCAAAATACATTTCATATAAACATGATTCACCTAGAAATTGTAATATTATTTATAAGAACTAAATATATTATCTGTATGTCAATAAGATGTTATTAAAAATGTTATCTAAACAGATTATTCCTCATTTGATTTTAAAATTATCTGTTGAACTACTATAAAATATTCCCATTTGGTTTCTTATCAAATGGTAATTTAATTTGTATAACAGAATGGCATTCTTTTTTATTATTCTCAACACAGGTTCCTACATACTGTTTATTACCATTAGAGAGAAATAGTAAGGTTAATAACTTATGATTCCTCACCACAACCTTGAACATTTTGATTTCAAGACTGGACATACCTGTTGCATGACTCATGGATATTTTATCATCTTACAGCATTTCTAAGAAATTGTAGAACACACAAACTTATAGGAAAACAATTTATTTAATTTTAGAATACATTATATTGAAAAATTTAAAGCTATTACAATAATAGGCAACTGGCATAATACTAGAAATGTTGCCAACAAATAAATATTTTTATTTCAAAATTAATTTTGAGACTTAAAGGACAACAAGTGCTAGTATTCCTACACAAGAGAAGACGCCACTGTTAGTCCTTATAGTCCCGGTGCAATAACTGCATCACAAACATTTTTTTGTGTATCTGTTAGTCAAAAGTATTATTCCACTTGTTTCATATGCAGTGACTTCTAATCAAAATATAATAAATGTGCTGCAGTCATTGAACTAAATAAAAATCAATGGGTACTCTGAATATCTGTAAAAGATAACTATGATACAGAAAGTATTTTTGAAACAAAATATATTGATCAGGATATAAAATATAAATACTATAAAATGAATCAACATATGCTTGTAAATTAGTACTACAATGATGATCTAAGTGGACGTTCAATAAGTTTTGTGCACATGACACTGATTATATCATTTACCATTGTATAGAAAAAGCTTACAAGTTACACACCCCTCACTGGAAGTTCATCAAAAATCGAGACAACTAAGAATATTTAAAAAAATAAAAATTGTATGTTATTGTACTAAAATTTATAGCAAAATTGCAATGTGCAATACAAAATAGTTTGGTAGGGAGTAAAGAAACAAATTAATCATCTATTCTATATTAAACTCTAAAAAGTAAGTTGCTACATCGTTGTGTTGTTTTAAAATTAAATTTCTGGGTCGTGTAACTCTAAGAACCAATAAACAATGGGTTAAATACATATGAAAATATAACTTACTAATACTTAAATTTGTCCACAAGGAGAAAGGGAGTTTGAACAAATAGAACTGAAGAGAAAAAGTAGGGGTTTATTTTGTTAGTCAATACATCATGCAGAAGCCCCCTTGAAATTAATTAACACACGTAACGATTATTAATATAAAATATAGAATATGTAGTGGCTCAAAACATTACACAACGGGGCTTCTTCTTCTTTTTAACTTGCAGTGCAGCTCGGGTAGCATTTTCAAAAACCTCTCTTACACCCTCCTTACTTTTAGCAGAACATTCTAGATATGCAAAAGCATTGATTTTCTCTGCCATGGATCTTCCGTCTTGAGGTTTTACTGGTTCTTGTTTCATCTTTTTAAGTTCGTTAATGGTAGTTGGATCGTTACGCAGATCCTTCTTATTGCCTACCAGAATAATTGGCACATTTGGACAAAAGTGTTTTACCTCTGGAGTCCATTTTTCTGGGATGTTTTCTAATGAGTCGGGGGAGTCTACTGAGAAGCACATTAAAATCACATCGGTGTCTGGATATGAAAGGGGCCGCAGACGATCATAATCTTCTTGACCTGCGGTATCCCATAAGGCGAGTTCTACCTGCTTTCCATCTACTTCAATATCCGCCACATAGTTTTCGAATACAGTGGGCACGTATACTTCAGGGAACTGATCTTTACTAAATACTATTAAAAGACATGTTTTTCCACATGCTCCGTCACCAACAATCACCAATTTTTTTCTTATTGCAGCCATCGGACCTGCCAAAACACACAAAGTTAACGCCTATTCAACTACGAACGAAAATGGCGGACATTAAATAAATCACGAAGTAAGAGCGGGGATAACAGACAGATAAGGATCAAGCAAAAAAACGTACCTTTTCCGTAGTCCTCCTTATCGGAACAGCAACAAAACATTCAGAGCGTCTCTTCGCAGTGTTACTCCTAAATTAGTTGGCGTTATTCTACCACTTTCTAACAAAATCATACAATTTTAGAAATTAATGGATAAGATAAACAAAACGAGTAAAAAAGTTTAGTACAATTGTCACTTCTCCACGCGTGCGCCATTTACATTTTCTTCAATATAGACGGTTCTATCTTTTTCTATACTACTTTAAATAACCATCGTTCCTTTTCAATGAATTATGAATAAAACGAGAACACGAATACAGAAAGCAACGTATGGAACACAAGAGTTGTTTATTAGTGGTCTGTGGTTGTTTACATGTCAGACGTATGATGCGTCATCAAATAATAAAACGTCATTTCTAAACAACTGTCCACAGAATAACATTTTATCCTAATTTTCATAGCTAACTGAGTATTCTGTGCAGAAATTATTTTAAGTTCTACTTGATAAGAGAAGAAAGAAAATATACAATTTAAACTTTAGGTAATGGGCAAATTATCTCCTGGGATAATACGATATTACCACATAAAAGAAGAAGAAGAAAAAATTTTAGGTTATGGTTATGTTATGTTTAGTGATATCTCATTAGTTATGTTTGTGATTGATCAAAATCATAAAATCAAATAACTGATCACAATACAGCACTGTGTTCATTGATATTCATATTGGAAATTTTTTGAAAATTATACAAAATGGCTAATTCTATGGTAAATTGCCAATTATGGATGGGTAGTGTAAGTATAATTAGGTTATTAAAAATGAAATCTTACATTTATACATTTTTAGCTGGAATCTTACATGACAGAAACATTTATTCTTAATGCTTTCCGGAAAATGGGCGAGAATCCTGTTAGCGTAAGAATAATTCGTAAAAAACTTACTGGAGAATCGGCTGGATACTGCTTTGTACATTTTGCCTCTGATGAAGAAGCTATGGATGCAATGCACAAGCTTAATTCTAAACCTATTCCTAATACACATCCTAAGGTTCGATTCAGGCTCAATAATGCGGGTAGAACCCTTATTGATAGAGAGTTTTCTGTGTGGGTTGGAGATTTAAGTTCAGATGTAGATGATTATAACTTATATAGAATATTTTCTGGACAATATAAAACCATCAAGACAGCAAAAGGTAGGACAAAAGATATATGAAAATATAGATATGTAAATCATTAACCATCTTGAATCTACATTGATGTATCTTTTTATGCCTGAATAAGCAGTCCCCACTTGTTGACCAACTTCGGTTGGTATGCAAGTGAAAGGGCACTCTTTTGTCCTGGGGTCAAGTAATTGGCATAAAACAGAAGAACTATTTACTAGTCAACTGCATAAGGATGTAGAAGGCAAGGAGAAACCACTACATTAAAGATCCATCATGGATATCTCTAGTACGATCATCATGACTGTACAACAAAAAGCCACATCAACCACTGATCATGGGAATCAGAGACTAGGATCTGGCATGGGAGGTATATCACAAGAAGACCACAGGGTATCCCTGGTCGTCAACCAGCAAAATCCCTGTGAAGGACTAAATACCACTCTTAAAAAAAATACACTCAAAAACACCCAAGAGAGTATTAAAAATTGGTACATGGACTGTTAGGAGTATGTATGATCCAGGCAAAATGCATAATATAATACAAGAAATGCAAAGATTATATGTCGACATTCTAGGCATTAGTGAGGCAAGGTGGCCAAATTCTGGCAGTTTTTCGACAACAAATGGCATGGTATATTACTCTGGAAATAGTAGTACTCAACACAGACACAGCATAACAGTTTTCTTATCAAAGTCTACAATGCAGTTGGTCATTAATTTTACTCCAGTATCAGATCAGCTCTTATTTCTCCAACTACAAACAAACACAAGTAAACTAAATATCATACAGATCTATGCACCTACTGCAGATAAATCCGAGGACGAAATTGAACAATTCTACCAAGAAATCAATCAAGTATTAAAATCGACGAAACCACGAGACATCACCATAATTCTAAGTGATTTTAACTCAAAAATTGGTAAAGGAAAAAGTGGCAAACATGTAGGAGAATACGGACTCGGTAAAAAAAATGAACGAGGTGACAGACTACTTCAATTCTGCTAGGAGAATAACATGATTGTACCTAATACATTCTTCAATTTACCAAAGAGAAGACTTTATACGTGGAAATCACCCCAGGACAATGGCGAAAGAATAATTCGAAACCAGATTGATTTTTTACTCATAAACGAATGATACTGAAACTTCTTAAAATCCGTTAAAGCTTACCTAGGCGCAGATGTCTTTTCAGACCATAACCCTCTAATAGCGCAAATGAGTATTAAACTAAAGAGATTGGAGCAGAAAAGAAGAGCAAATCAGATAGACGTCAGTCATTTATGTAACCCAGAGGTAAAGGAGAAACTGCAAAAATGTATTAATAATAATTTGAAAATACTTCATGTAAAAGAAACATCTCAGCCAACGAACAACATAGATAAAAAAATGGCGATAACAGGTACTGCGAAGAAAATTCTGACTGAAGAAAAACCAAAAATAAAGCAAAAGTGGATGACTGATAAGATCCTTCTTCTCATGGACAATCGGAGAATAATGAAAGGAAAAAACGAACAAAGGTATAAACAAATACAGAAAGAAATCAGAATAGCAAAAGAAGATTTTTATAAAAGAAAATGTGAAGAAATAGAGCAATTGCAGGCAAAACATGATATTTTTAATGTACATAAAAAAGTGAAAGAACTTGCAGGTACACAAAAATGTAAGCAGCCAAATACCCTGTATAATGTCAATGGACACATAATAACAGAACTAGAAGAACAGTTGAAGACATGGAAAAACTATATTGAAGAACTCTTTGCAGATGATAGACAACAATCTGACCTAATTAACATACAAGGAGACGAAGGTTCAGAAATAATGGAAGAGGAAGTAATGTACACACTAAAAAGAATGAAAAATGTTAAAGCCCCAGGTCCAGATGAAATACCAATGGAAATCCATAAACTAATAGAAAAAGACAAAAGATTGACAAGAAAAAAGACAATTCACATTTTAGTTGAACTTTCCAATAGCATTTATGCATCAGGAAAAATACCACAAGAATGGCTTTTATACACCTTTGTTATTATACCAAAAAAGATAAATGCCAAAAAATGTAGTGATTACCATACAGTCAGTCTGATGAGCCATGTACTGAAAATATTCCTGAAAATTATACACTCTAGAGTACACAGAAAACTGGAAATAGACATCAATAATAATACCCAGTTTGGATTCTGAAATGAACTCGGAACAAGAGAGGTGTTGTTTGCACTGAACGTTATGTCTCAAAGATGTCTTGACATAAATCAAGATGTATTCATGTGTTTCATAGATTACAACAAGGCCTTTGATAAAGTGTGGCATAATCACCTAATCAGACTCCTGACAGAAAAGAATTTAGATATATGACACATCCGACTAATAGCAAATGTGTACTACAATCAGAAAGCAGTAGTGAGAGTAGAGAATAATACCACTAAAGAAATTGAAATAAAGCGAGGTGTGAGACAAGGGTGTATACTGTCACCAACCCTGTTTAACCTCTATTCCGAAGATGTAATGAATATGGGTCAAAACCCTTAGGGTATATATATTTTGGTGGCTACTAGCATGTACAACCGTTTGCACTGATGATGGATTTATCAATCCGAAAACGTTTTGCAATGTGTTTGTGATAGCCCGTTTGGGGCTTTTTTTTATATACCTTTTATAAAGGATTTTAAATAATTTTTTGTAAATCTACTGTTTTTTTTCTTAAAGTTCCACATAAATCTGGTATGTGATTGTTTAAATAACTTGCTAATGATAAGCTGTTATAGTTATCTGCAATAATGAGGCACCCTTTATTCAATAGAGTTTCACATAATTTATCAATTGTTTTCAGGTTTATCAAGAGTTTCTATTTCAGTAGAAGCACCTGAATAAAGTTCATATGACCATGTGCAGCTGTTGACAGTGCATAATTTATAAATCTTGAGACCATACCTACTCGCTTTTCATGGTTTGTATGTTGTTTCGTCTCGTTATAATTTCCTTCATGTTATTTTTGATTTTATTTTATTATTTTAGATTCATATCAGTAATTCTTAAAGTTTGGGTAAATTAGCTTCCAGAAATCTATTAAAAGATTAAAATGTTTGTCATTTTTACATATTTCTGGTGAAAGTTTGTAAATTATAAACCCTCCCTTTAGAAAGTAGGTACCCGGCAAATCCGTCGGCTATTGTCGCAGCCGCTGCATCTGTAGATGGTTCTGATAAGGACAATATGAATAAATTGGCAATGTGCGTTATTTCCAAAAGTTAAAATTATATAGTTTTTAAAAACGACCTCCCCCTCCCCTAGGGTCTTCTGTTATACATTTTGTAATGTATTTTTATTAGTAGCATTCTAGACTCAGTTCTGTAAACATGTATAGTAAGTAATAAATAGTTCTAAGAAAATTTTCGTCGTATATTATTTTAATTTAACAAAATAATATTTTATAGCAAATATATCTCACTTACTTACTTTATCGTATCCGGACATGTCATTCATAAAATTTCTGCCCAGTATCGGGCTACATCGGTTCCATCTTTGTTGGCGAGCCACAAATCTTCAAGGGTACATCGATGAGGACAGTTTCTGCATGTAAGAAGATGTTCCATATTATGTGTTTCTCCACAGTCACAGTTCACATCATCTTGGTTTATTTTAGATAATAATATATCTCACTATAAACTAATTGTGGGTCGTGGGACTATGTTTTTATCTGAAGCCTTCCATTAAATTTCACCATATATTTATCCACCACAGGTATTTCACTAGGAATGTATAAACTAATAAACCCATCTACAATATTCTTTAAAAGTGAATAAATGTTTTTAGTTTTGCTAATCATTATTTGGTTAAATTTCAGCAAAATGCCAACATCTATGAATGAAACTAAATCTTTTATATGACATGTTTATGGGATGATAAAGGAGAAATTTATACAGCACATCTAATTTCAAATAGTTTTCTATTCTAGGTATTTTTTATAAATTGTATAGAATTTTTTAAGTTCTTTGTCAACATCTTTCCATCTAGTCTAATTTGAATGAATTACCATTTCATCAATTAAAAAGTTATTCAAAAAGTATTCAAATATTTTTATGATACTTAGTTGACTGGTTGAAATTGTAACTGCATCAAAGTTGTGGATCCCTGAATTTCCAGAAAAGTTTTCCCTTCCTGCTTACAATACATTAGATGACCACACTGTCTTATGCTACAATATGTGTTCTAGTGTACGTTTCATAAACTGACTCTGTTTAGTTGATTTTTTTTTCGGCTGAGTTACTTGTGTAGTAAGAATGTTTGCACTAGTACTTGAAGCATCTGCACCCTCTCCAACATATTGTAAATTTACTTTTTTAGTCATTTCAACATTTTCTGCTTCATTGTCGGTTGATTGTATGTATTTCTAGGAAGGTAAGGTTCTAACGAACATCAGAAAGTTCGAGATAATTACGGTACTAGTAATTTTTAACGTGAGGAAAACAAAATCCTACTGGATTCGTTCTCATGAAAGATACCATAACATGCTTTCGACGATTTTGTTTGCCAAAGTATCAAACGAAAACCGCCTGGTATTGGAAAGGATTAGTTCCTTTCGCATTCAGGATTAAAAACCTTTCGTAGTCTGAGAACTTCCGTGATTTGAGGTAGTCGGTAGATTCCAATAAAATTTCCTAATTGTAAACACGATCACCGGCGTATATATTTGCAAATACGGCCATGGGCGTCTCAGGAACAGGGGTAAAGGGATTAAAAATTATTTAATATTTTAATTATAAAAAAAATGTTACACTGCTATCATTATTTGGTTGAATTTCAGCAAAAATGGTCAACATCTATGAATGAAAATAAATTTTGTATGACATGTTTATGGGATAATAAAGGAGAAAATTATTCAGCTCACCTAATTTCAAATAGTTTTTAAGTTCTTCGGTTGATTTTACCGATAGTACAAGCAGAATATAGCCGCAAATGTCAACCATGAAATAAAATATTTCGGTTTGGCAGTGTTGGCATGTTTTTATCGTATGCATTAAATGCTTCTTTGTTCACCTTTGTGGTCTTATTAGGCCCATGGTAGGAGTATAGATCAGTTGTATGGTTCCCATCATACAACTATTACATTGAACAGATTGAAAGGGTCCAAAATTAATTTTGCGGATAGAGTATGGTAGTCCCCGTCATTTAACTGTTACGTTGAACAGTTTGAAAGGGTCCAAAATTAATTTTGTGGGTCGAGTATGATGGTCCCTGTGATACAACTGTTACATTGAACAGATTGAAAGGGACCAAAATTAATTTTTGAGGATAGCAGCTTTTAGGAGTGGATATGACTATCAGTGGGTAAGAGACTGTTGATTTACAAACACTTGGTCTCCACTTAAGTACCAACACTTGTTATATTTATGTTTACTTACTGCAAAGAGTCATTAATGCTATTATATATTGTCCTCAATTGTTATCACTCATTAGTCTTACAGTAACCCACCCAGTAGTAAAAACAGACAATCGGAAATATTTTCAGTGCCATTTCATCACACTACAATAATTTTACTTGTATCTCACTAATTATGGTATCAATGAACCCACTACGTGATTGATCCAGAGTGCCAATACAATTAAATATTTTTGAGTCCAATTAGTTTATTTAAAAAACAACTGACAAAACAACAAAAAGGTATCTTATAATAAATGATCTCTTTTATATGTCAATACCTACTCTTGATAGATGTATTAAAGTTTGTTATAGTTTATTATTCTGAGATGTCTGATATTTTAAAAATTTATTGTTTTTAAGGTGTAGCTTTGTTAAAACTTTTGTAAATGGATTCCTTTAATAAATAAATAGTTCCCTGTAACACCAAAAACTATTTTGTGGCCATTGCTATTTTGCCTGTGAATATGTTACCTTGTAAGCACTTCACTATTATGTAAAAATGGCAGTATTAAATAGTAAATGTTTGCTTTTTTTAGTTATATTAGATGTCAGTGGATTTAGTAAAGGATATGGGTTTGTAAAATTTGGAAGTGAAGAGGAAATGAAGCACAGCCTAATATATATGAATGGTTTTAACGGACTTGGAACAAAACCTCTGAAAATATGTAATGCTGTGCCTAAACCCAAGGGACTATTCCTACCTGGTATTCCAGGACCTTCAAACCAGAATGACAGTAATGATTTCAGTCAGTATTATGATCCAACAACATATTTTCAAAACTGTGCATCTTGGCAGCCGGTAAGTTGTTTATTTTATTTCAGTGTTTTATTAGTATATTATATTATAAACAAAGGACTCGGTTAAATGAAATCGTAGGCTTCCACGGCCAGAGTCAGAATTATAGTTTATTCGTCTTCCGGGTTTGGACCGTGTCATTTGTGAGTGACCCAAAAGTGGGTTCATCTCGACGTTTCGCTACAATTGTATGTAGCTTCTTCAGGAGAACAAAGAAAAAGAAAAAAACCAATATAAGGTTGAATGTTCGAATAATTAAACTTTGAGGGTATACAAGGCAACTATCGAACACGGTGATTAATTTAATCTTGCCCAAGTACTTTCAATCAAGAGATCATCTTCAGGGGCATTTCGTCAATTGTGACATTCTACTATGTTGGATAGGCCACAATTGACGAAATGCCCCTGAAGATGATCTATTGATTGAAAGTACTTGGGCAAGATTAAATTAATCACCGTGTTCGATAGTTGCCTTGTATACCCTCAAAAAAAAAAAAAAAGAACAGGAAGATGGGTAGTTAGCAACGGTAACTCAGTTACTCAACGCAACCAGAGGCGAATACTAACTACCAAGATGGGCATTTGGTCACAGTAACTCAACTACTCAACGCAGCCAGAGGTGAAAACCAAATGCCAGGACAGGGATTCACGTCCAACAGCTCAGAACACTAACGCGTCGAGAGGCGGGGAGTGAATCCTCCCCGCTATGGATTCACTCCCCTCCTCTCGACGCGTTAGTGTTCTGAGCTGTTGGACGTGAATCCCTGTCCTGGCATTTGGTTTTCACCTCTGGCTGCGTTGATTAGTTGAGTTACTGTGACCAAATGCCCATCTTGGTAGTTAGTATTCGCCTCTGGTTGCGTTGAGTAACTGAGTTACCGTTGCTAACTACCCATCTTCCTGTTCTTTTGTTTTCTTCTTTCTTTCTTTTTTCTTTTTTTGTTCTCCTGAAGAAGCTACATACAATTGTAGCGAAACGTCGAGATGAACCCACTTTTGGGTCACTCACAAATGACACGGTCCAAACCCGGAAGACGAATAAACTATAAAAGGACTCGGTTTACTTAAATATTACAGTTAATTTTGAGATTTAAAATTCTCGTATAAAAAGGTTATGATTTTTTTAATCTATCAATGAAATTATTTTTTAACAGGGGTCTGTTTATGATCAATCATCTGAACACCAAGCTGCATGTGAGAATTCAAATAACTCTGAAAGAAAGGAGGATGATTTGGACTTGATAGGTAAGTTAATATAAAAATATAGTTTGTTCTTTATGTGACTGAGGTCTTCCCGCTGTTCTTGCTTATATTCAAAGTATATACTAGAATTACACACACGCCACCCCCAATATTAATCTTGGTTTAATTTAATCGATGTTCACCAATAGACTCGTGTAGGATAATTATCACTTATACTGGCTATCTCTTCTGCCCATTGCAGGTGTGTATTTTTAATTATAGTAGTTGTACCGTACATTCAGTTTTAAATTAGATATACACCTTATAAAAATGGCAACACTGCGCGCCGTCGACTTTCCACGAACCTCCGTTGCCCCGTCGCCAATAATTTGTCATACAGTGGTTGTTTAAAGTAATAAGGGCGTGTATATTTATTTTCTGTTTTTTGAGGGGAGACCAATTCCTTGCGTACAGTCAGTTCATAATATTATTCAAAATTTTGAGAGTTGTTATTGCCTCAAAAATTGCAGAAAATGTCACGATCAAGAAGTATCACCAAAAAAAGTTGAGGAAAGAGAATACCAGGATACACAAATTTATGCATCAATCGAGCTAGATTCAACACGTTCAAGTAGAAGCGTTGCTATAGCGTTAGATGTTAGCAATGTTATTGTAACGAAAGTATGTAAAAAGGACGGGTACAAGAATTTTAAATATTTAAAAAGCAGCAGCTTTATCCAGTTGACTACTTTCTAAGAATGGAGTTTTGTGAAACTGTAATAACGAAGCCTAATGACGAACCCAATTTATTAAAATCATTTTATTTACTGATGAATCTTCTGTTTCGTTAGTAGGGAGACACAATCATTCCATTACGAGGCATTGGGCGCAGGAAAACCAGCACAGAAGTGTTGTTTATCGAACTCAACGTCCTCAAAAAGTAAACGTCTGGCTGGCATTTTAGGAGACCACATAATAGGTCCATTTTTTATTGAGGGTAACTTGAATAGTAGAGTATAGCCCGATTTGTTACAGATTCATGTTCTTCCCGCTATTGTCAATCTTCTTGATGTAAATCTGGAGAATGTTTGGTTCCATCAAGATGACTGTTCAGTTCAGAACGCTCGAATAATTACGGAGTACTTAAACAATCGCATGTTCCCCAAACATGCGAAATCCAAAGACGAATTACTTTAGCGTGAGCAGCCTTTGGAAAACTACACACTTAGGCCCAACATACCAATTAGCCTTAAAAGAAAAGTATTTGACCAATGCGTAATACCAGTCATGACCTATGGGGTGGAAACTATGACTCTAACCAAGATTACGGCTTCGAAATTGAGAGTGGCACAGATACGAATGGAACGATCTATGCTGGGAGTGACGTTTCGGGACCGAATAAGAAACGAAAATCTGCGAGTAGAAAGAAGAACAAGTATTGCTGATGTGGAACGCACAGCGCAACTAAAATGGAATTGGGCAGGCCGTGTAGCGAGAATGCATGACTCACGATGGACGAGCAAAATTACACATTGGAGACCAAGAGAAGACAAACGTGCTAGAGGAAGACCACCTACACGTTGGGCTGACATCAGGCGTATCACGAAAAATTGGCAACAAAGATCACAAAATCGCAAAGAATGGAGGAGTTTAAGGGAGGCCTATGTCCAGCAATGGAGTGATAAATAAAGGCTGGATGATGATGACTTAAACATTACTTTTTCGAATCGAGTTATCACTGGAACAGGCGATATTAAGTGACCTGCGTGATCTCCAGATCTTACACCAGTGGACTTCTTTTTTTTTGGGGAAATTTAAAAAGCATCATCCTGAGGCTAGAGCCCAAAATTTGGACGAATTAAATAACCGAATAAGAGAAGTCTCCAATTGTGTTACAGCAGAAACTCCTACATCTGTCCGCAGAAGTTTTTATGACAGATTGGGATACTGTTCAGTGTTTAGCCGTAGAAGGTCAAATATTTGAATAATTTATGTATGACATAAAGAATTATTTATTTATTTATTAGGAACTATTTGTTATTTTCGATAAGTTTTTTTTGTTTTATCTTTTTAGAAAAATTTAACCACAAAAAATTGTTCAAATTATTAAAAACCGGTACAAATGCACCGTCTTATAATGGTCAGTCTATTTTTATCGATGTTATAAGAAATGAACCGAGTATACGTAATCAAAACAAAAATCGACGGACGGAGATACATATCCCTTACTAAATAGTTTTTGTTTTCTCGTTTTCTGTCTAGGAGTCTAAGGTTAAAGTGTCGGAGAGAATCGGAGAATTACAATTACTTCGTACGAGACAATATTGCCGATTTCAGCGCTTTATATAGTTTGCCATGTATAATCCAAAAATTAACCTGGGCCTAAAAAATGTTGACAGCAATAGCTGGAGGAATACCTATTGGAACGAAAAATCGACAAATAACATTGAGAGTGTAGACTACGTATCAAAAAGAATATTGATGGTTGAGATAGAAGATGAAAATCAAAAATTAGAATTAGCAAGTTTATATGGATCACCTGTAAAACACAAAAAGATACGAAGATCTCCAAAAAACAGTAGACAAAATTCCAAAAAATATTGCTATAATAATTTTGATAGACACAAATGCAAGAATTGGCAACGACGTAATAGCAGGTACAGAACAAAAATTTAATAAAGAAATACATCATGAAAATGGTGAATTTTCTGCGCGTAAAATTATTATAAAAGAAGTAAAATATATTTCAATTCCAAAAAGCCAACATAAATACTTTTAACGCAAGCAATATATTTTTAGATGTAGGAATTAATTTTTCACTTGTCCATTATAGTGAAGATTTAATTCCACCAACTATTGTTTAACCAACGTGAAAAATTATAAAACGTTTACTTTTATACCCTTCTGGTTTACGTACACTTTGGAAATTGTCTTATTTCGCTTTTAATAGATCTACGTTTCGTCCAAAAAAACATGGTCTCTGGAATGCACTTACTCTAAAACTAAAAACCCTTAAAAAATATTTCGTATCACTTCGTTGACGTGGTTTTAGCCATATTTAAATAACTAAATGTCAATTTAATGGTTAGAATAGATACTGTATTACCAGTTAAGGAGTATTTTAACCAGTAGAAGTTTGCTTAGAAAAAAATATTAAAAAAAGCAATAATATTCTCTGATGCAAAAAGTGCAATCCAAAAATTACAAAGTACCTGTTGGGGAACAAATAACCACATTGTAAATTTAACTAAAAGAATGATACTTGAGGCAAATGAAGCAGGATTTGATATTATTATAGCCTGGATTCCAGGCCACTCAGGAGTAAAAGGGAATATTGTGGCAGATCAATTGGCGAATATAGGTAGAACCCTAAACATCCCAGCTAACATAAAAATTGATAAAATGGACTATCTTTCATTTCTTACTCAAACATTAATAAATGAATTGATTGATTGTATATAATAAACAGAATAAACTGTATTGATTCCCCTTTTTGTGAGTGTGGTCAAATAGGAAGTATAATACACATCTTGCTAGAGTGTCCTATCAATAAGACACCACTATTTGATTTATATCAAAAACTTATTAAAGATGGATGTCCAACGCCCATTTCAGTACAAAATATTTTCCACAATATCAATGCTAAAACCTTGAAAACGATTGGTAAGTTTATCAATATTTTTCAAATTAAAATATAAGTAAAATATAAATAAATACCCAACCTAACCTATCCTTTAACCACTGGTGTCCTGTCCAAGATGCCAATGCCAAATTCCAGATATACCTTACATAGCTTAATAGATGGAACAAGAAAAATCTATATCATTAATGACATACAGAATTATTTTAGAATATCCACTATAAATTGTCCAAAATAGTTGAAGGGAATATGGTTATTTCCAGAATCTCTGTGAGGAGAATTCCCTTCTATAATTGAAATAAAAATATATACATGAGCTGGCCCCGTATCTAAGAGGTGGAGGCCATAAAACGAAAGAAGAAGAAGAAGTTAAGGAGTATTGAGAAGAGCAGGTACAGGGGACAGCCTTTTAATATTATTAAATAAAGAAAAGTGATGCTTGGGCCATTTGTTGAGAGGTTCACGATATTCCATATAAAACATTATACTGTAAGCTAAAATATACACAGTCCCGTATTTATCTTCAATTAAGTATCTAGGTATTACTCTAGATACGAAACTTAACTGGAAATCTCATATTCATTATATAACATCTAAAATTGAAAATGCTATAAACATCATAAAAGTTTTCAGCCATAGTAAGTGGGGGGCAGATCCTAACATTTGTCTTCTATTTTATAAATCTTTTATTCAGTCAATAATCGATTATGGGTGCGTATTATATGGATCGGCCTCTGAATATCATCTTAAAAAGATTGATCAAATCCAAAATAAATGTCTACGAATCTGTAATGGGTATCTGAAATCTACACCCATAGTTGTTATGGAGGCGGAAAGTTGCATACCTCCACTTCTGTTAAGGAGACAATTCTTAAGTAATAAAAACTTATTTAAGATATACGCAAAAAATGACAATCTTACACACACAATCCATCAGTTAACTATCGAGGTTTTAACAAATCGATATTGGAAATATAAAAAAACTCCTCTACTGATCGAAAGTTATTATAACTACCCAGAAATTAAGGACAATATATTGACTATTAACAACTTCACGTCTTTTAAACACTATGATTTTCACCCTGTATTCAATTTAATCGATGACTACCCTAGTCTCCCGGAAAAATTACTAAATAAATATTTTCTTGAACTTTGATGGTACACAAGGCAAATATCGAACACAGTATTTAATCAAATCTTGCCCAAGTACTTTCGATCACAAGATCATTCTCTAATCACCCAACTCAGCATAAAATGGCTGCTTTCAACAGTTACATTCATCGATTACTTAAATTTCCTCTTTCTGATGATAATTTTAATACAGAACTCAATACTCTTAAGCAGATTGCTGTCAATAATGGCTATGATCCTAACATTATATACAAACTTCTAAATAGAGCTAAACTAAAAATTGCAGAAAAGCTTGCATATTCATCACAGTCTTTTCAACCTAATGTTTCAGATAACATCAGATATTTCTCCTTCACTTATATTAGCAGCATTTCCAATAAAATATCTAAACTTTTTACTTCTACAATTGATAACATCAAAATCTCCTTTAAATCACATAACACTTTAGGCTCCTTCTTAATCAATACCAAAGATAGGATGAATACACTTGATAAAAGTGGTATTTACAAATTAAAATGTGATGATTGTGATGCCTCCTATGTAGGTAGAACCATCAGAAAGTTATCCACTAGAGTCTCTGAACATTTGAAAAGACCAAACTCTTCAAGTTTTGGTCAACACTTAGTATCCAGCAACCACAATTTTAATATCAATTCTGGTTCATCTATCTTACATGACATTAGTAGAAAGAAAAACTATCTTGAGTTGGATTTATTGGAAAATTTGGAGATTACAAGGGAAACAAATGAAAACTCTCACTGTCTTAATACTCAAATTAATTTAAATTGTACTAAATTTAATCCTATATTTAAAAACTTTATTACAGCTCCATCTCGTAGAGGGCCCAGCTCGACTGTTTAGACTTCATGCACTGAGTATTTACATATTAATTTGAAAGTTCTTCCATTGACTGTGGATTCAACTGAACTACTTGGATTACAACCCATTTATATATTTTGCTTTTAATTTTGATTTTGATTTTTAGCAATTCAACTGAATATTCATATTTTCTTTTTACAGTACTGATAGCGCTTAGTGGACCATTTTATTGTAGTCAACTATCCACTGTCTAATATATTGTTTAGTCTATTTCTTACATTCATACTTTATGTCAACTTCAATTGCTCTCAAACTAACATCCTAATTATTATAGACAGGTTTGAGTGTGAGATCTGGATTATTCAATCTACATAAAAATATTAGATATAATTTTATATTTCTTCAGGTGATTTCCTATAGTGGTGTCAGTTGGACCTTTGGTCAATACTTAGTTTCATAGAATCTTGAAAGGCGCAGATCACTTATCTATTGTAACTGCCCTTCACAAGCTGTCATTTGTCACATGTCATCTCAATATTTCCGCCTCCGCCAGGCTGGGATCCATTCTGTCTCCGGCTTCTATATAAAATGTAGCTTCTCCAATTTTAAATTTTAAAGTGTTTGTTTGTCTTTGTTTAGTGTATTTGTTATGTCCCAATTTACATTTATGACATTCTGTTACTGCGGGATAGGCCACAATTGACGAAGTAAGTCTATAAACGTTAATCACATAAAGAAACTCTTTTCAACTATAAACTTGGAGTTTTTATCCAAGTGAATTAATTTTCCTTTTTTAAAAAAACGTTTCTTGGCTTATTTCAGATGCCCCTGAGGATGATCTTGTGATCGAAAGTACTTGGGCAAGATTTGATTATATACTGTGTTCGATATTTGCCTTGTGTACCATCAAAGTTCATTTATTCGAACATTCAACCTTACATTGAAATATTTTCTTAATAAAATTTATTATAAATGGAAAAATCATGATTACATCTCTACTGACGGTTCTGTAATTAATGGAAATACCGGTTTGGCCCTTTATCATGTTAATAAAAAAATAAAGCGACTGTATAAACTGCCTAAGGGTTCGTCAATATTCACTGCAGAGATAGTCGGAATTCAAAAGCACTAATCTATGCTCAATCCCTATCCGGCACTAAGATAGTAATATTCTCTGACTGCAGAAGTGCATTAGAAAAGATAAAAAATATTAACATAACCGACCAGTATGACGAGTTAATTAAAGATGTATATGAAGTACTTACAAAATTAAATAAAAATGGAAAGATAGTTACATTATCCTCGGTGAAAAGTCATTGTGGGATAGAATATAATGAGATAGCAGATAGATTAGCAAAAAGAGCTACTACAGAAGGGGAGATGATTAACATTAAGCTACTTTGAAACGATCACGTAAGCCAAATGAAAATAACCATGAAAACTAAATGGCAAGAAAAATACGAAAAAGCCAACTCTGGGAAAAAGTTTAAAATGTTGCTTCCAAAACTAAACACAAAACCTTGGTTTTTTAATGTACAGAATAGAAATTTTATAAAAACAATTTCACGAATCAGAAGTAACCATGCAATGTATCCGGAATATAAACACCGTTTAGGTATCCATAACGAAGATTATTGCGAATGCGGAAAACATGGTAGTTTAGAACATATTATATTAGAATGCCCGTCTATTCAACAAGAGATCTCTACACTACTTAATAATCTATATAAATTAAAAATAGTCAAACCTTTTAACTTGCAACTGAAGATATACGAGTATATGAGGTAATTTATGAACATACGGTTAAATGTAAATTTAAATTATAAGCACACTAACATAAATCCTACTTTTTTGTATCCATTCCAGGGGTCCTCTCCACCGTGTTACAAAACCCCGCCGAGACGACCCTTCGGCAAATTAGCACTCCTTCTAAATCTCCTTTGTGATAACTAACAAAATTATATGATAGGAAAAAAACAAAAAAAAACAAATAAAACAAAAACAAAAAAAAACAAAAAATAAAAAAAAATTAATCAAAAAGCAAACAATATAATTTAAAAAATGCAGCTATATTACAAGGATAATCATTAATATAATCTTAAGTATTATGTACAATAATATGTGTTGTTCATTAAATATAAGATAATAACGCATTATGTAAAAATTAATACTTACCTGAAGCATTTTCCTTATAACTTTCACACATTTGTTCTGGCCAATTGGCTTAGTTCCAGTGCCATAAAACAAATCACACACACACACATAAAATATACGGTAGGAGGTAACTGGAGGGTAAAGGAGGTAACCTGAAGAGGTACTCAAGTTATGGGGCCTCTCAGAAGCCCTAACGAAGTCTAGACTAGTGTGAGAGTGCAGAGAACTTGGTAGACTGGCGGAGCATAACAGTGTTAGACTGGTATGGGTGCAGGATCATCCGGCCGTAGGAGTGCCGCATCTAGAACCGAATCTTAAACTTTAGAGCTATTTTGACATATGATACTGAACTGTTTGCGTTTTAAATTCAGACTTTATTCTTGTCATTGTAACATATTTTAAATTACTTCTCTTTTCAGAACATACCATTCCTTTGGATATAGACAAAATGAATAGAGAGAAAATGGACGCAGATTGTAATTTGTGGGATGCTTTAGAGAGTTCCAAATGGTTACCTTACGAAATGTTAGAGGTTGCTTGATATAAATGATATAACTTGGTCGTTAAAGAAAAATATCTCGATGAAAAGTAATTTATGTACTTTGAATTTTTGACTTGTACCTTTCGTAGATACGTTTTTCTATTATTATTAAATCCGATGCCCATGTAGGTTAAATAATTTGGAGGGACTGAAATAAAACGAATCTTTTAACTAACGGTAATTAGTGGTATTGTTGAATATTAAACACATAAAATAAGCAGAATAAAGGGTTTTGTGTTTGCGTTACATTTTAGAGATTTCGAACAAATGTATTGATCCATGAATTTTAATTGATCTTCAAATCTAATTAGCTTAAACTGCTTGTTAGATATATATACAGCACACTGGAACAACTAATAACTTATAAAATTTAATTTTTATGGTTATAGTATACAGAGGTAATAAAAATATAGACAGTTTAGTAGTTCTCGTGATGTTTGCTTAAAAAGTGCATTTAGTGCATGGGTCGACAAAAGTTTTTAACATTCTTTACTGCATCAAAGTGACAAACAGTGAATAGTTTAATGTTGATGTAATATACGCTTACCCTATACAATAAAATCAACATAATTCATGTAACCTACATCGGCACCATGAATTGACTTCATATTAAAACGACTACTTTTCTGATGTAAGTGTATAATTTATAAGAATATTTTGATAGATAATGTAATATTGGTATTTTATGTAATAAAAGTTCTTTCATGCGATTAAAACTGTTGTTTTTTTTTATTTCTTGTATGAATTAGATCTATTATACAACAAGCATTAAAAAAGTCATCACATTTCATCCAACAGCACATCTCTCACTATCCAAGAGTAAGAAGTCCATATAGAAAAAAGAAACCAAGTTGAGAAGAAATACAGCAAATATTATTACAACCGTAGAAGTATAACCACTATTAGTAGAATGAAGTTCTGTCATGTATGTTGTCTATATTAAGATTCACACTGAGAGTGCAGTACGGCTAAGATAGGGCACTGCTTTTCTTATGGAGAATAAACACACATGATTGTCGACCGTCTTGGATAAAATGCATCTCCCGGTAGTACGAGTATAATATTTTATATTATGTATAAAGTAGAATAAAAAAAACACTGTAAAAGTTATTCTGAAGCTATTTTCTTGTGGCATTTTAAAGTAATTACTATTTAAATGGGAATAAGCCATAATTAAAGTTAAAATACGTTTATTGACGTTTCAATTTCCACTTCGGAAATCAGAAATTTACTAATGTTTGTATTTTGAGAACGATTTCCGAAGTGGAAATTGAAACGTCAATAAACTTATTTTAACCTTTAATTGTGGCTTATTCCCATTTAAATAGTAATTACTGTAAAAGTTGTTATAATTAAATACTCCACGAAATGTATAAATAGCTTGGAAAGTACTAATAGCTTTGGAAAGAATTCAGAGCAGTCTACAAGAAAGTTAACATCAACAGAAAAGAATTTAAGGCAACCACAACACAATGCTGAAGTCAGAATTGTGACCTAATAACAACAAGGAAAGATGTATTAAATAGATGGGTGGAATACTTTAACCAGGCACTTAATAAAGAAGAAGAAGGAGAAAACCTGGAAGACGAAAGATAAGAGGTAAGGGGAACAGACGAGAGGGAAGAGGAACCACCAACGATTCTTAAAGTTTAAGATGCAATTTAAAAACTAGCCAGAAACAAATCACCAGGAATAGATAATCTTCCAATTAAACTGTATAAAAAGAAGGTGGCCAGGATACCATAATTGCATTACACCAGCTTATAAAAGAAATATGGACACAGAAATCCCTGCCCAATGATTAAAATACTTAACAATACACAAACATGGAGATATCTTTGAATGCTCTAACCACAGAGGAATTACACTTCTAAATGCAGCGTATAAAATAGTTTCCACTACTATGTCACCAATGCAGAACTATAGTAGGAAAATACCAGGCTGGTTACAGAAGTGGTAAATCGATAATTCATAAGATTCCAACCCTGAAACAAATTTTAGAAAAAACACTGGAATATGGCATTGATCATCATCATCTTTGGCTCGGCAATCCTCTGTGGATCTTGGCCTGCTCTAAGATTCGTCGCCATTCTGTTCGGTTTTTGGCAACATGTTGCCATCTTTTGATTTTTAATATTCGTTTCCACTCCATCTAACCACCTAATTCGCGGTCGGCCTTTTCTTCTTTTTCCTACAGGTGTTCCTGTGGTTAGCTTTTTAGCAATCGTATTTTCTGGAATTCGTATTATGTGTCCAGCCCATCTAAGTCGCTGTGTTTTAATGAATGTTATGATATCTGGCTCATCAAAGAGCTGATACAATTCAAAATTATATCTTCTGCGCCACTGCCCTTGGTCGTTTACAGCTCCAAATATTTTGCGGAGTATTTTACGCTCAAATATTCCCAAAAGTCTTTCATCTTTCTGCGTTAGAGTCCATGTTTCTGCTCCATATGTGAGGACCGGCCTCAGCAATGTTTTGTATAAAATAATTTTAGTTCTTCTTTGAATGTTTCTTGAGTGGAAATGCTTTTGGAGTCCGTAGTATGCCCTATTTGTAAGATTGTAACGGAAATATTTTGCCTACCACAGGGGGCATTAATACGGGGGTAGAAAATTGGTGGAAGAAACTATTGGGGTGGAGATAGGGCAAGCAAAATAATCGCTACTTGTGCGAACGGACACTCAGGGTTTCGTAGGAGAGCTGGGGTCGTGGATAAGTAAAAGATAAGGGCATTGGAATGGGGCAACTACAAAAAAATGAAATAAAGGGCTCTTGGGATAAACAAAATAAAAATTAAACAAGAAACACCTCAAGGAATTTAATATAGGGCGCCACTTGAGGTGCCTAATTATGCCTATTACAACCACTAGTTGTAACTAGGGAAATAATTAGAAAATAAAATCAAAACATATCTTTTTCAAATAAACTCAAAAAGGGTTAGCTTAAAAAAAATAAATAAAAAGTTAAGAAAATAAAATTTAACCTTTAATTATGTGTACCACAAACAGTTACAAATACAAATAATACTAACAAAATACAAAAAAAAACGACTTACAATGGCGCTTTCGGTTTACAACTCTGGGCGTTGGGGACCCTATTTGCGCGACATTTTGTAGCGGTAACTATTTAAATATTTATTATCATATTTTTAAATGGAGCTTACTTACTGAGGTTAACCTTTTTAAAAACAAAACAAATTCAAAGTTTATGGTTATGTATGTACCAAATATCCGAAGACAATAATGCTAACTGTCATATGTCAAGATTAAATTTTTAAAACTATAAGAATAATTAATATGACAGTTAACCAATCCCTAATATTTATAATTTTATTTATTACAATTTTTGTAACTTGTCATGAAAGCAATTATCGATGAAAACTGTCTATTTTTACTTTAAAAAATGTTTACAAAAAAAAAGAGTACCTGATATCACTGAATATTATATCTCCTTTAAAAGTTTTGGGGCTGGAACTTTACTCAAAAACACTGCAAAACAAACAAATGCTTCTCACAAGCTGCAAAATGGTCTGGAATGACCAGGGACAACAAATATACGATGAAAGCTGGGCACTGGACCATCGGACTTCGGGTTAATTAAACTGCAATCTTCAAAGCTTGGCTTTTCAAAACTTCTCAAAACACAAAGCTCTTCAAAACACAGCACGACCCAAATCGGTGATTAACTCAGACAAAAACTGACACATTACATTTGAGTATAATATTCACTTCTCCACATATAAATTTGCCGGTTCCTTGAAGAATACCACCCAAGCACTTTTCCGTCAATATCATAAACCAACCTCAAATTGTAACTACACATGCTACCAAACTTCAATACTTCTGATGAAAAAAACTAATAACAAAAAAAACATTACGAATTTGATGAAAATTCGGACTAAACAAACGAAACCAACTGCCCTTGACAGCGGCTCCACCGATAGTGACGAAATTAAAAATTTGTTCGCTTAACTTGAAAATCAACGAACTGCTGAAATAGCAAAACCAACGAACGACGTAGATATCCTTTGAAACGCATTTACATGAAAAGAAATCGCCGCAGTAAAATAAACAACAATTAAATGGATTTATTACTCTACGACGTTAGAATGATTGAAAACACTTTTCGAAAGATACGAACTAAAAAACAGAAAACATTCTTCGTTTTATTAAGACGATTTCATATACGAGGCGACTTTAAATATACTTCAAAGAATCAATCAAATTTAAAATGCTACAATACCCCCACGTAAGAGCGAAAACTGGACTAACAGGAAAAGTTTTCGTTTAGGGCGAACAACAATCAGGTTGGAACAACAGTAGCATTTTCTAACTACTGCAACAACACATAATGACTTCAATAACTCAAACAGAACAAAAAACAACAAACAAAAATCATAACCAAAACTACACATCATAACTGTTTATGGTTCTAACATAATAACATACAAAATAAAACTGGATGCTCGATTTGACAAATCGGCACCAGGTACAGTTCGTTGGCTCTTAAGCACAACGACACAATGGCAGATTTCTACTAAAATGGCTCTTGCCTAACCAAAAACGTGGAACAGACCAATGTTGAAGTTTCTGGAAGCGAAAAGAAAGGTGTTTCCAGCTCAACAAAGGCGGGTGGCCAACAACACAGCTTAGACAAGCTTCTCTATGGTTATCCACATAATAGACAACCAAAACAATATCAAAGAATAACAAACTTGACTATAACAGTCAAGCAATGAATTTTTAACCACTGGTTGAAAATTAAACCAACACAAAAGAAGAAAACAGGATGGCCAATAGTTCCATAGAAATATCCTCTGGGATCAACACATCGAAAAATTTCCAAGTTAGGAAACTCCCAAAAGGACCAAAGAAGAACATAAGTCCAAAACGTTAATACACAATCTTGGAAAAGAAAAAAGAACAGGGGCACATGGCATACAAGCCATAATCAATACACAATCAGTTCAGTCTCAAACTAAATACTTTCTGAAGAAACAAAAAAAAACTCGTAACAGTCTTCCAAAGAAAACAAAAAAGTTACGACAACACTCCAAAAGAAACAAAAACGTCATTACAAATCTCCAAGGGGACAGAATAATCACTATATTCTTCCAAAAGAACAAAAAAATCATTACAGTCCGTCATCAACAATAAAACTTCCAACTGGGTACACAAATCTCAAAAGCAGGGCAAGAAGGGTAGAGAAGAAGAAGAATATATACACAAGGCGAAAACTAATGCTTATCTTCCTTAAAAGCTCAACAGGTCACCTGGCGGACGAATCCAAAACTCATCGCCCTAGCCGTTCCTCTCATGACAACTAATAAGGTCAAAGACACAGTTTGGGAAGGGAATAAAGGGACAACATCAAGAAATAAACTTCATCATTTCACGGATAATAATCGAATACAACGTCATACAAATCACAAATAAAAGTTCACTATTCATCAACAAAACTCGAACAGGATCACAACAATATAAGTCTGGCGAATTCTAAGTGGGTCATTCAATGGTAGTACTAAAACTGCTTCAGATGTTTCACTAACATGGTCTCACAATCGACATAAACAATATTTTCACAATAAACGGCGGCGAGGTACTTTTACCTCAGCAAATCAAAACGTCACAATGGACAATGCCAGTAATTGTACCTCCGCTTTTGCAAATCATAAACACTCATCACAAACTCTATAACAAGAAGGAATGCTATT